AGCTCTGGGAGGCTGGAATAGGCAGGAGGGCACAGAGTGCTCTGGGCGGGGCCCTGCTCTCCTGAGGAGGATATGGCAGTTACCAAGAAACTCTGTTCTCTGTTCCCAGAGCTTGAGTTCTGTTGGATTGGGAAACAGAGGGTAAATGGAACAGATAACTATTGTTAGGCATGATGCAAAAGATAAGATGATATGGTAGAGGGGACTGCAGGGGCAGGGAGTTATCTGGGGAGGACTCACAGAGATGACATTTAGTTCATTCATTAATTCAACCACACTAGGGCACAGTAAAACAATTTCTGCCCCTTAGAGCTTAAATCTAGTATAAGGGAGGGGGAATATCATAGAAAATAATAAACGTGTCAGATAGTAATAAGAACTAAGATGAAAAATAAGAGCAGGGTACGAGATAACAGGAGGTGCTATGTTAAATATTCAGGCAAGGCCTCCTGGTGAGACACTCGAGCAGAGAACTATGAAGAAAGAATAAACCATGCAGATAGGAAGGAAGAACTTCCTACACGGAGGGACAGAAAGTCCAGAGGACCTTGGCACATTCAGTGCACAAGGAGGTTCGTATGGCTGGAACATAGTGAGCAAGGGAGTGAGGGAAAGGAGATGCAGTGGGAGAGAATGTTTTAAAAGTATCCAGCTGGCTGCTACGTGAAGCATAGACTCCAGCAGGGGAAAAGAGTGGAAGCGGTGACTGGATAGGAGATGGGTGCAAGGCAGGGAAGGGAATGGTTTGCAGGAGCAGGCTGCGTGGTGGAGATGTGGAGCAGCACATTCAGGATATACACTGAAAGTAGAGTTGTGCTGATGGACAGACTGAGGCGACTGTGAGACAAGTAAAAGGCAAGCAACTAGACGAATGAATGGCTGTCACTCAGGGGAGCAGCTGTGGGTGGGACAAAATCAGGAGCTGGTTTTGGACAGGTTAAATGTTTTAAAATTTCCTGTACATTTTTTTATTATCCCTATTATTACTATTTGGCAGAGTCTTGCTGGAGTGCAGTGGTACACTGTCAGCTCACTGCAACCTCCACCTCCTGGGTTCAAGCAATTCTCATGCCTCAGCCTCCCAAGTAGCTGGTATTACAGGCATGCATCACCACCTGGCAAAGTTTTTTTGTATTTTTAGTAGAGTCAGAGTTTCACAATGTTGACCAGGCCGGTCTCCAACTCCTGGCCTCAAGTGATCTGCCCGCCTTGGCCTCCCAAAGTGCTAGAATTACAAGAGTAAGCCACTGTGCCCAGCCTATTATGAAAAATTTTAAATATTCAGCAAAGTTGAAAGGATTTTATAATGAACACTCATATGGCAAACCACCTAAATTCCACTATCAACATTTTGCTATTCTTCATCACACGTCTTTCCATCCATCCATCATTCCATCTTATTTTCTGGTACATCCCCCTGCCTCCAAAAAAAAAAAAAAAGAGATACCAGTACATGTCTCCCTAAGTACTTTAGCATGCATAGCATTGAAAGTTCAATATGAAACATATGGCCCAGGTATGGTGGCTCACATCTGTAATCCCAGCACTTTGAAAGGTTGAGGTGGGTAGATCACTTGAGGCCAGGAGTTCAAAACCAGCCTGACCAACATGGTGAAACTATCTGAAAAAAAAAATTAGCTTCACGTGGTAACCCATGCCTATAATTCCAGACATTCTAGAAGCTAAGGGCCAAGAGTTGCTTGAACCCAGGAGGTGGACATTGCAGTGAGCCCAGATCATGCCACTGAACTCCAGCCTGGGTAACAGAGTGAGACCTTGTCTCAGAAAAAGAAAAAGGTATGACTCTCAAGTATATAATCTTAATAAATAGACTTGTGTAACCGAAACTCTTGTCAAGTTGTGGAATGCTACCATCACGTTGTTTTTCATTTCATTCATGTTGCATCTATCAGTACTTTGCTCCTTTTTGTTGCTTAGTTATTCCATTGTATGGATATGCTACACTTTTTTATCTTTAAATTATTAGCTATTGTGAACAAAAGCACTGTAGACATTCTTGTATATCCGCAAGGAAGTCTTTTTGTGGACATACATATTATTTTTTAAATTTTTTTATTTTTATTTTTTGAGACAGAGTCTCACTCTCTGTCACCCAGGCTGGAGTGCAGGGGCACCATGTTGGACTACAACCTCCATCTCCTGGGTTCCAGCAATTCTCCTGCCTTAGCCTCCTGAGTAGCTGGGATTACAGGTACCCACCACCATGCCTAGCTAATTTTTATATGTTTAGTAGAGAGGGGTTTCATCATGTTGGCCAGGCTGGTCTTGAACTACTGACATCAGGTGATCTGCCCGCCTCGGCCTCCCAAAGTGCTGGGATTATAGGTGTGAGCCACTGTGCCCCGCCCACATTTATTTCTTTTGAACAGATACCTAAGAGTGGAATTGTGAAGTCATGGGGTAGGTGTATATTTTATTTTAAAAACTAATAGGGGCTGGATGCAATGGCTCAGACCTAAAAATCTCAGCAATTTGGGAGGTGGAGACAGGAGGATTTCTTGAGCCTATGAGTTCAAGACCAGCCTGGGCAACATAGGGAGACCCTGTCTACAAAAAATAAAGAAGTTAGCTGGGTGTGGTGGTGTGCTCCTATGGTCCTGGCTACTCAGGATGCTGAGGTGGGAGGATCACTTGAGCCCAGGAGGTCAAGGCTGCAGTGAGCTGAGATTGTGCCACTGTACTCTATGCACTCTAGCCTGGTAGACAGAGAGAGGGACCATGTCTCAAGAAAAAGAAAACAACAGCAACAAAAGTGCCAGTTACAATGAAGTACACCCGTGTATATCAACCAGGGTAAATCTCAGAAACAATGTTTGTCAAAAACAAAAGCAAATTATAGGTCACATTCCTTATGATACCATTTATATAAAATTTGAAAGCATGTGATACAAATTACATGTAGTTGTAGATACATATTTATGCAGTAATAGCATAAAAGCATACTTCACAAAAGTAATCATCAATTTCAGGACCCTGACATCTAGGGTAGGGGAGAGGTGAGGAATGGAATCAGAGAGGCTTATAATAGGCTTCAGCTATATCTGTAATATTGTTATTTCCTTAAAAGCATCTGAAACAAGTTGGGTAAAATGTTAATATTTAATAAACTGCCTGATGGATGCACAGAGATTAATCTCTGCTTTTTGATTCCCTAATTGGTAACTTGTTAGTTTTTAAGGCACTGTTTCTGAACTGTTTGCTCACTTCCTCACTACTTTTGTACAAAAGTACAAAAAAGCCTCTACTTCTGTAGGTAATTGACGCTGGGCTGAACCAGGATGTGGGAAGGGCAGCACTGTTCTTTCCGACTCCTCTGCCTCCCTCTTCTTAGAGACTCAGGGCAGAGGGTTCCTGTGGACAAAGAGCACCTCTGACCTGCCCCGGCTCCATAGCCTTGAGATAACTTGCAGGCTTCCCTTCTCCTTTTGTTTCCTAAATCTAGGTCTGAACTGGGCCAAGCTTTCCTTTTAATCCCAGTTCCAAACCCTACTTAAAATTGAACCATATTTTAAAATAATTTGTTCTGTTCCGTTTTTTTTTCCTTCAGAAACTCTATGCAGTTTCATCTATCACTTCTTTAATGATTTTAAGTTTCTATGTTTTACTTTTCTTCTGTTCTTTATGTCTTCCACAGTATCTGTCACAGTAGTGTCTCTCCTCCCTTGTGTTCCTTGTAATTTTTGTTTCTGCAGTTTTTCTGTATTTCTTTCCCATTTCTTTGCTAAAGCAGTTTTTAATCTACCAGCTCCTTTTTCATGCCCTCCCATGGTTTGTAACCTGCTGCTGCCTGACCACCCCTTCCTTGAATTCTTTATTTCTGCTTTGTCATCTTCCTGCATAACTGTCATTGCCTCATTACATTTTTTTAAAAAATCATAATAGAATAGGGGTTAAAATTTTCTTCTTCTGGCCAGGTGTGGTGGCTCACGCCTGTAATCCCAGCACTTTGGGAGGCCAAGGCAGGTAGATTACCTGAGGTCAGGAGTTTGAGACCAGCATGGCCAACATGGTGAAGCTCTGTCTCTACTAAAATTACAAAAATTAGCTGGGCCTGGTGGCACATGCCTGTAATCCCAGCTACTTGGGAGGCTGAGGCAAGAGAATTGCTTGAGTCCAGGAGGCAGAGGTTGCAGTGAGCTGAGATCATACCATTGCACTCCAGCCCAACTGAGCGAGACTCCGTTTTTGTGGTAAGATATTTTGGATGGGTTTTCATTCCACAGGGAGGAAGTTCTGCCCCTCCTTTTCAGACTTTGTTTTTTCTGGCAGAACCTTTTGTGGATTTTTTTTATAATTTATTTTTTGATGGGTTGGATTTTTTGAACCAACAGTTAGTAAGAGAATTCTGTGATGTGAGAAGGGAGACAGCTTTCATTGATTCTCAGCTTGAGGGCTCCCTCCTCTGTTGTAGTGAGGTCTACTTTGTTTACTGGATGGCACCTCTGTGTAGCCAAATTTCCTCTGACTTTAGGATTCTAACCTCACTTGGTTGGGTTTCACCAACCCCAGAGTTTCCTTGGCCCTTCCCCAGCCACTGATTCAGAGGCATCCTGCCTCTTTCTGCCAAGGTGCTCCTCTCTCTGTTGGAAGCTGCACTTCCCAAAGCTGCCTGGGAATCCTCCAGGCACTCTGGTGATTTCCTTCTTCCTCTCCTAGTGTTCTTGCCCTCTTCCTTCTTGGTCATTCTCACAGTGGTTCCCATTTAGGGTGAGTCCTCTCCTCTTAGGGTTGAATTTCCCTGGGGATGGCTGGGATCTGCCACCAGCTGGATTCCTGTGCAGTTTCTGGTGTTCCCTATGGCACCTGCCCACACATTGTAGATTACTGTGCTGGTTTGGGGGTGACGCCACACATAATGTGAAATTAGTAAACTTTGTCACTTCCTCATTTCACGGAAGATGCAGTCTGTAGGTGTTTCACACCTTCATTCTTGTTGCCCTATAGATTTTTAAAAATTATTTTATTTATATTTTTTTCCACATCAGATAGGTAATGTACCAGTATCATAACAATATTTGAGGGTGGCACATCTCACACGTGCACATGAACACCCAGTTATCTTGTTTATGAACTACAAAGGATCGCCCTACAGATTCTGAGCAAAGCTGTCACCACACTCCCATCAGGCTGCTCTAGAGTCCTTAGCAGGTATTCAAGTCCCTCCACAGTCTGCCCTGCACCCTTTGGTTTTTCTCTGTGCTCTTAGGTATGACCACAGCTCCAGCCAAACTAATCTATTCACCATCCTAGGAACTCATCCCAACATCCCTTTTCCTGTGTCCCCGCTGTTCCCACGACTGCGCTGTCACTTCAGGGCTTCCATGTGGTAGCTGTTGTTTATGGTGACGCCATATGTATTTCTCCCCTCTCCCTTTCTGCTGGTATCAGAACCTAACCCACCAGCTGGGCTAGGTGTGTAAACCCGGTTTGTTGATTGCAGTGCCCCTTTCCTTGGCAACAGGGATTGCTTCAGGAAAAGATAAATGGTCCAAGCAGAGCCAAAGTCCTTCCCTCCACGAGAGCTAGCCAAGAAGCCTGCCTCTTGCCTCTAGGGTCACTGTGTCAAAGAATGTTCACCTGGAGACCTCCCATCTGCAGTATTAAGGGACACTGCTGACACAGAGCAGAGGGAGTGTCCTGGCTTAAGTCCTGGATCCACCTTAGTGGTTCCTAGTAACATAAGCTAGTTTATCACATTTTAGCTTAAGATATTTTGAGTCATTTTGTCATGTGCAACTAAGAGAATCATGACAAATACACCTGACCTTGTTCTGCCATTGCCCCTGTTCTTTATCTGTTATAATATACATTACACTATAGGGTAGTTGTAACTGCGTAGTGTCCCCACTAAAAGTCCTTAGTTGTACCATCACCGTCATGTGTCCAGTACCTAGCATTGTGCCTGGCCAGTGTTGAACAGTAAATGAAAATTCATTTGAAACTACATGTCTGACTTACCAGATTCTTCCTCAAGGTCTTAGACTACCAAGTCCTTCATGAAGCCTTCCTGGCAAGTAAGAGAATGTATGTAAAATGTCTCACACTGTGGCCAGCACAAAACAGTCTCACAAGAGCTGCATCCTTCTCTGCTGTAGTTACTCCAGCCAGAAGTGATGTCTTTCTCCTTGAAGCTCCTATATCTCATATAATCAAATGGCATCAGCTCATATCATCTAATACTAGAGTTATTTGTATTTCTGTTAAGTTTTCAATGTGATTATAAATGCCAGGAAGCAAGGGCCTTGCACAGTGCATCATGCTAAAGAATTTGCAGTTATTGGACACAATAATGAAGTCATATATGAGCAATAATTAGAGGTTAGATGGAGGCTAGTGATCCATTATTGGCTTCAGGAGTCCTTGCACTGTATGAGACACAGATAGATTCAAAGAACAGAGTTCATCAATTCTTCAGTTCTGATAAGGGGAACTGAGTACTAGCAAGAGAAGAGGCCAGAAGTGCTGGGTCCAGAACTGTGTCTCATAATCCTCACATCTGTCTCATACTTTTCTTTGCCTGTGTCTTCCATATGTAATTAGTAATAGTCTGGCTGATTCAAACTTACTTTTAAAATTTTGGTCCCATGACACATCCCTCAGGAGGTCCTGAGAACATGTGCCTGTGATTCAGCCTTTCTAATAGAATGTAAGCTCAAAAGGCCAGGGACTTAGTCTGCTTTGTTCATTGCTGAATCTCCAATATCTAAAACAGCAGCTGGCTCCTATGTATTGGGTCATAGTAGGTACTACATTCATCTCTCTACTATGTTGAATACAGTTCATTTCCCTTGTATGTGCCTTTGTAAAATATGTTTCGATTTCTGTATTTGATTCACACTATAAAAGGACATTTTCAAATCCAAGTCCCATGATGTCAGTTTGCCTGTGTCTCCCACAAGAGCTCTTTTTTTTTTTTTTTTTTTTGAGACAGAGTCTCACTCTGTTGCCCAGGTTGGAATACAATGGTGCAATCTCGGCTCACTGCAACCTCTGCCTCCAGATTCAAGTGATTCTCCTGCCTCAGTCTCCTGAGTAGCTGGGACTACAGGCATGTGCTACCACGCCCAGCTAATTTTTGTATTTTTAGTAGAGACGGGGTTTCACCATGTTGGCCAGACTGGTCTCAAACTCCTGACCTCCTGATCTGCCTGCCTCAGCCTCCCAAGTGCTGGGATTACAGGCGTGAGCCACCACGCCTGGCCAAGAGCTCTTAATTATACCATTGTGTACCCAGTACTTCACATTGTGTCTGGCCAGTGTTGGTTAGTAAATAAAAATTTAGTGTCTTATTCACTGAGGTATAGTCCCTAAAACAAGAGACATTCCATAAATATTTGTGGAATGAATGACTTAAATATTTGATTAGTGAAGTTTAAGTTGAGCAGAGAGATGAGAACTAATGGCTTAGATTTAGTAAGAATACTATGCCACATTTATTTATTTTTAGAGACAGTTTCACTCTGTCGCCCATGCTGGAGTATAATTGTACAATCATAACTCACTACAGACTCAACCTCCTGGGCTCAAGCGATCCTCCCACCTCAGCCTCCCAAGTAGGTGAGACTACAGGTGTGCACTCTCATCCTTGGCCAATTTTTAAATTTCCTGTAGAGATGGGGTCTTGCAGTGTTGCCCAGGCTGTCCTTGAACTCCTGGCCTCAAGTAATCCTCCCATTTAAGCTTCTCAAAGTGCTTGGAGTACAGATGTGAGCCACCACTCCCAGCCTGTGCTACATTTATTTTAATATCTTTATTGTTCACAAGTTATTTCACAAATATCCCCTCACTTGAGTCTTGCAACAAATCTATGAGATTTATTTTGCCAGATTTATAGCTGAGGAAGAAGACTCAGAGGAGTCAGAGGGCTTATTTAAGATTACTTAGCTTGCAGATTGGGTCTTTAACCCAAGCCTTGACTTCAAATTTTATATTTGTATGAATTCATATAAATGTTATAGGAAATTTATCCACATTTTATAACTAGAATTATAGAATCTGAGAATTGGAAGTAGCATCACACGTCACAAATTCTGAACCCCTCACTTATTTTCCAAAAGAGGAAAATAAAGATTGGAGAGTTTATATATGGATCCAAAGGTACATATCCAGTTTAAGAATTTCAAAAAAAAAAAAAGCTGGCCGGGCATGGTGGCTCAGGCCTGTAATCCCAGAACTTTAGGAGGCCGAGGTGGGTGGATCACCTGAGGTCAGGAGTTTGACACCAGCCTGACCAACATGGTGAAACCCCATCTCAACTAAAAATGGTCTCAAGCTCGTGACCTCAGGTGATTGACCCGCCTCAGCCTCCCAAAGTGCTGGGATTGTAGGTGTGAGCCACCGCACCTGGCTGGAACTGGTTTTGATAGAGGCCTTTGAGCTTGAAAGTTAATAAAATAATAACCTATTTCTTTCTCTGATACCTCCTGGTGTAGACCACACCCCTGCTGAGTTCACACTGCACAGAATCTTGTTTTCTGTCCAGTGGGAGTGACTTTACCAGGACTGTTAGGGAGGCATTCCATTGTTTGGCCTTCCATATCTCTATGAGTCCAAACCTAACAGTAGGAACAGCTCAGACCTAAAGATTACATTCAGTAATGTCACTTTTCATTTAGTTAATAGAAATCAGGGTTCCAATTTGTAAGACTATATGTTCAAGAAAGTTTACTAGAGCTTTATTTGTAATAGCAAAAACCTAAAGATAATTTGAATTTTATCAGGAACTGTTTTAAAAAGTATGGTTCATCTGTAACACAGAATATATCATGCAATTATTGTTTTAAAATGAGTTAAGATTACCTGTGTGGACTTGAAAAGCTGTCTGTGATACATTCATAAGTGATAAAAATTGCAGAGTAATGTTAATGGAAAAATCTTACTTTGGAGAAAAATAAGGAAATCTTCGTCTGTCTGTGTCCATGATTATGTGAGCCTGGAGAAAGAAGTGGCAAGATGCCACGTCAGCCATTAAAATTTGTTACTATGAGAGCAGGTTTGGGCTAGGGAGAAGACATTAACATGTCTGTATTTGACTTTTTCAGCAAGCATGTATTGATATTGTGATTTTTTTAATCAAGTGAAAAATTTGAGGAGCATGGGTTTGAGATAAATAGATGGATTATAAGCTAGTTTTTATCACTTAATATTCGTAAGAGGTTTGGAATTAAAAAATTACCTAACCTCACTCTTCATCTATAAAAGGGGAATACCCACCTCGCAATGTATAATTAAAGGAAGTATACGAAGTGTGTAACATAATCCTTTTTATAAATATTACTTTCTTTTATCTTCCACACAAGCAATTTGGAGTAGAAGAATAAAACCAATGCAGAATGTGTTGGGTCCACCACTGATGTGTGTTCTCTTCATGTTCTCAACTTGGCCTTGGCCTTTCAAAGAGGCAGATTAGTGTCTCCACAAAGATCCAGCAGATAATCACTACTTCTCTCCTTAGTCCTTTTAGAGACAAAGTATGAATAATATACAGTGGTGCCTTGGCCCTCCAGGGGTTATTTACCAAGTACCTTAGTTATTACTAACCCAGCTGAGAAGCCGGAAGGAAGGAAATGGGCCTCTGAACAGCCAAAACAGATGTCTAAAGTTCAAGCTCTCCTGGATCATTTATTCTTAATTTAGAAAACAAAATGAGATATTTCCAGCCTTGGCACGTTAGTAAGGATGCTACGGGCCAGCTGCAGTGGCTCAAACCTGTAATCCCAGCACTTTGGGAGGCCAAAGCAGTAGGATCTCTTGAGGCCAGGAGTTCAAGACTATCCTGGACAACAACGCAAGACCTTGTTTCTACAAAACAGTGTTAAAAATCCGCTGGACATGGTGGCATGTACCTATAGTCCCAGCTACTCAAGAGGCTAAGGTGGGACGATTGCTTGAGCCCAAGAATGTAAGGCTTCAGTGAGCTCTCATCACATCCTTGCACTCCAGTCATAGTGACAGAGCAAGACCTTCTCTCCTTTTTTTTTTTTCCGAGACAGAGTTTCACTCTTGTTACCCAGGCTGGAGTGCAATGGTGTGATCTCAACTCACTGCAACCTCCACCTCCACCTCCCAGGCTTAAGTGATTC